AATATATCAATGTGAAACGATTCTTAATGCAAGTAAATTTATTCATGAACGAAAAGCATCTATTCCATTAATTGCTCAAGCTTACCAATATCTTTTAACATTACCAGTGACGACAGCAAGTCAGAGATGCAACCGGTCAGGTTTTTTCTTGACCGGACCGGCGCCCGGTCGGGCTCAACTCGACCGGACCGAACCTGCCGGTCGACCGGCATGAGTCATCAGATGATTTTCTCGTTGTGAATAAGTCACAAGTTCTACTGAATCATAGTAGTGACTTCACAAGATTCAGCTGACGAACAAGACACATTACTAGGTTATATTCATTTATATAATTACATTGAATTTAATCGACAGATTTCAAATTTCATTAAAAAATATGAATCCATTCAGGAGTCATAACGTTTTGGTTCTTGCTCAAAATTGCTAGAAACTTAGCAAAATTTCAAAATGTTATAACTCCTGAACGGATTCATATTTTTTAATGAAATTTGAAATCTGTCGATTAAATTCGATGTAGATTACTATAGAATTCTAAAAAGCGAAATACTACTAACAGCGAAAGAAAAATTTAGGTAAGCCCAGGTCGACTGATCCGATAGGAACCTGGAAATATCCTACAATCCGATACAATTCTATTGGATTCCGGGTCGAGGAATCGATGTCGGATCTTCAGTATCGGAATCCTATGAACTTCCGATGACATTCAACGGTTTTTCGTTGGAATTCATAGGAATCCGGCACTGAGGATCCGACATTGATTCCTCGACCTGGAATCCAACGATAATTCTGTAAGATCTGACAGGATCCGATAAAATCGTATTGGATTCCAGTCGGATCGGATGGGTTCCGATAGGTGCCTACTGTCGGATTGCTCGATCTGGGAGGCTCAGGAAAAAAAAATCTTTTTCGCAAACTCTGATGGCAAAAATTTTTTGACAATCATCGGATCATTTTACCCCGTTATCATTCTCCATTATGTTTCGCCTAGGTCCCATGCTCTGAATTTGAGATCAGACGTTTTTAACAATCTTCCGCCGCCACTGGTTCCATGAGTGTAGCGTATGCAAATGATCATCGAAATAATGGTTTATTATCTGAATGCAAAACTTACTGATTCGACATACCACTTCAAAGAAAGCAGGTTAGAGATATTTCAGCTTTACGACTCAGTGAATCTTAGTTTAGTTTGATTTTCTATGGGTAAGATTTATCCCATGTAGACCCCTCAAAATGGACTTCATACTAACAAAATATGAGAATGTAGTTCGTAGACGTTACTGGGAACCTCAATGGAGCTTGCTTTACATGAAAAAAAAAACTCTTATTTGTTTTTGCACCGAAAATCGTCAAAAATTACGGAGAAAATAAGGAAAAAACTATTGACCAGTTCGGACTGAAAAAAGTCGTTTTGACCGGCCGGTTGCCGTTACCGGTTGCATCACTGCAGCAAGTGTCGAAAGGTCGTTTAGTAAAATAAAGATCGTAAAGAACAGATTAAGAACTAAAATGGGTGATGAACGATTAGATTCATTACTGACATGTACATTAGAAACATTTATTTTGGATCAATTGAAAAGTAACGAACTAGTCGAAAAATGGTCAAATAATAAAACTGGTCGTCGGATGCAGTTTTTTAAAGTTATATTTGTTTTTTTAGCTTTTGAGATATTTTCAATTAAATACATGAACGAACAATAAATATTATTTTATTAATTATTTATCTTTTAACAGTTTAAACTAAATTTCTAGCATTTTATAGACTTTTTAAATTTTCCTCCCATTTTTAAAAAAAACCCCCCCCCCCCCTAACTTTTATTGCTTCGCGCCGTCCCTGTATATATCCAAGTTATGTTAGTAGTACTAAGGTAAATGATATTGCATTAATACAACTCGGCACTCCCTTGACAATGTCAAGTTCATCAGTAAGTGCTATCTGTATCCCAGCTGTAAGCTCGACTACATTAATTGCTGGCGAATGGCCATCTTCTGGCTTATATGTAAGATAAATTATTATTTTTACTTTATGTTTCATATACGCATCAATGACCGATAATACATTGATAGGTTGTAGCTGTCGGATGGGATGCTTTACAAGAAGGCGGCTCAACATCAACAACTCTTCAACAAGTAACCGTTCAAACAGTTGACTATTAAGCATCCACTTGCAGCCCTTTGTTGTATAATCGACAACTACAATTTTGTGCTGGTGTTTCTGGTGGTGGAAAAGGTAAACAGTATTCAATCGTTTCTATTCTTGTAATGCTAGTTTTGTTCTTCTAGATACGTGCCAAGGTGACTCAGGCGGTCCTTTGATGATGTTTACAACCAGTAATCAATGGGTATTAGTTGGTTTGACTAGTTATGGTATTGGCTGTGCGCGAGCAGCTTATCCTGTTGTATATACTCGTGTAGCTTATTATCAAGACTGGATTCGAACAACGACAAGTGGTGTATATACTAATGCAACTTCGTCGGTATCGGCAAACATCGATCCTTATTCTTCGAATACCTCAATCAAATTTTTTCGTAGTCAACCGCTTACTCATTTATTATTTCTTTTCTTTCCACTACTTCTTATCAAAATCTATCTATCATGATGTAGATTCTTCGAAAACTAAATAATTATCTTAACTGTATATTACGTTATAAAAATCCAGCATGGTTAATCTAATCTCTAAAAATTAGTTCTACGAAATCCTCAAACTTCAATTTTTTTTTACTCAAGAGTATCCGATGACAATAAAGTTAGTTTTAAATGAATTCTAACATGAAATATATTGAATATTCTTTTCTTTCCAGTAAACCTAACTGTCAACATCGCATGACAACAGTATTTTTTTCGAAAAATGCGTGAATAATTTAATATAAGTTAAAAAAATTTCATATAATTTATAAACACAATCAAAACATATCAACATTTATATTATTCGGATAATGACTCTGTTTCACTATCCATACTGAAGTCAATGTCAATAAATGGTTGAATTAATGATCTTCGAAATGCCGCTAGACGATTCAATGGTTGATCAGTTGCAAGCGAAGGTGGAGTTTGTACAGCAGCAACTTTCGTTTCCACTGGAGGTGATAGACTAGGTTCTGTTGTAATATCTATTGTGTGAGTCCAACGCACATGCGCTCGACGATTGTCCCACTATAAAAAAAAGAAAAGAAACGATACACGTAATTATTTTTCAATTGACATTTTGGTCACGATGCTCATCTAGAACAGCAGCTCAAAATAAAAGAAACTTACTGATGTTGATATAATATAGTTTTCAAAGGGGTGCCAAGCTACATCTCGCACACATTTATCACGTCCAGTACCATATTGATTATTTCGTATACGAAGACATCGTTCAACAGCACCGGTAAGAACATCATAAACTACATGATAATTAAAAAAAACAGATACATCGATCTCGATTCATCACAAGAAAATCTACTAACTATATATACAACCATCGGATGATCCCGTGATAATATACCGCTGTCCAGTCGTAAATAATGGTGAAAAATAACAACGTATCAATGTGTAACCCACAGAATGTCCACGATATGTACATACACTTGGATCACCAGAAATACCATGTCTCTGAACTAAGACAAAACGATAAAATTCAATTATCGAAGCAATAAAAATCTTTTATTTTACGTGTTTGTGGTTGTGCACCGGCTCGATAATCCCAAACGCGATTAATAGCATTTGATACTGTACGACTATTCTGTATTGTTGACTCATTCGCAAAACGACGTATATCCCATAATTTAATGCTTTGATCTTTACAATTAGATATTAAATATCTAGAATCCATCTATTAGCCAACGGTAAGCAAGTAAAAACTTTCCACATGAATAGTAAAAAATAAACTCTTACTCGACTATGTACAAAAGTAATTCCACTTGAATGACCGGCAAATATTCCCACGGGTTTCGGTTGAGATTCATTCAATGCTCGTCTATCCCAAACTAAAACAAGACCATCATCTGAACCACTAACAATCAATGAATTAGAATCATCAAGAAAACGAACAGCATTAACATCATTTTGATGAGCTGAAACCTATGTACAAATTAATATTTAAATAAATTATCGTTATTTTCTTTTCGGTGATAAAAATATTTACACGTAATGTTCGTTGTTGTTTTTGAAGATCATATATATATACACACGCATCGTTTGCACCACAAATTATTTCTGAACAATCAGCAGAGAATTGTAAAGAAAATACTGAAAAATTATTCGAAAGAGGTTGTAAATATAATGGTTGAATTGTAGATTGGCATTCATCTCCATTCAATTTTATTAAATAAACTAAATGAAAAAATAAGCGTTTGGAAATTTCATTCGCTCATCGGATTTAAGACCTACTGCTATGCGACCATGTTGAATAAACCACACTATTTCGATCAGTTGATAAAGTTGTATCCAATATAGACCAACCAACATCATCTAATTCGATTTCTGCTAGACGATCAAATGTTCGAAATGTCGACGTGTCGTAAATACGAATAGAGTAATCTAAAAATAAATGAATTTATTCAATTGTAACAATTAATCTCTTGTAATTACCTTGACAAGCACTAATAAAGCGTTGTCCATCATCGGAAAATTGACCACAAAAAGTTGGTTTTGTCATAGATGCAACAACTTCGCCTTCCTTAGGCAATAATCTATAAGAACGAATTCTAATAGAACAACCAAAGTATCAAACATCGACAATTTAAATACCTATCCATTAGACGATATCGTGCTGCGGGATATCGATGAAAATCAACTAAACCGATTTCACGCTAAATTTTCAATAAAAAATAAATGAATGATTATTTTGAGATTTTTCCAACCTTTTTTAAAATCGATATCGAATTTTTCGCAATTGAATTCTTTTTTGAATTTGTTTGATATGAGCATTTCAGTGGTTGAGCGTATGTACCATAGAGATCTTGCAATGCTTCGATCTAAGTGAGAGAAAAAAAATGAATTCTCAACAGAAAAATTTACTATTTTACTTGTTCCTCATTCTTCGTTTCAATCAAATCTTCATTCTTTTCTGGAAATATCAATGGTTCTATGTGAGAAAAAATAATTTAAGCTGAATATTTTAACGAAATATTAACTATTTTCTACCTTCAGGAAATAAAGTAGCAAATATTCGATGCATACTAGAAAAAAATATTTATCCAAACGTTTTCCCATTCGTTCGATATTTTTTACGAATGACCACGTGCGACATCTAAATTTAACCTCAAACATTCAGCCAGTCCTCTCTTATTTTTTCAATGAAATATATGATTGGCTTCGCAGTTTATCGAAAGTTTTGTTTTCTTCTTCGGTTTCTTTTCATACATCCATTTTATATTTTTCGAGTGTATTAAAACTAAATAAACTTTTTTTTTACTTTGTTATCTATTAGATCTACAGTCATGAAGCTTAACATTGCTTATCCAGTAACAGGCTGTCAAAAATTACTTGATATCGATGACGATCGTAAATTACGTCCGTTCATGGAAAAACGTATCGCTCAAGAAGTCGATGCTAGCTGTTTAGGCAATGAATGGAAGGGTTATTCATTACGTATAACCGGTGGAAATGACAAACAAGGTTTTCCAATGATGCAAGGTGTTTTAACAAATCAACGTGTACGTTTACTACTCGATAAACGTCATAAATGCTATCGTCAACGACGAAAAGGTGAACGTAAACGTAAATCAGTTCGCGGTTGTGTTGTTGATGCAAATTTATCCGTATTAGCTTGCGTTATCACTAAACGTGGTGAACAAGATATTGAAGGTTTAACCAATAAAACGGTTCCACGACGTCTCGGACCAAAACGTGCAAATCATATTCGTAAATTGTTCAATTTAAGTAAAGAAGATGATGTTAGAAAATACGTTGTTAAACGACCATTAACAAAAGAAAGTAAAAAACCACGAGTTAAAGCACCTAAAATTCAACGTTTAATTACGCCACGACGTCTTCAACGTAAACGGCATACATTATCATTGAAGAAACGACGTGCTGAGAAACAACGTGTTCTTCAAAATGAGTAAATGAATTTTTTTCCTTTTTAAATTGAATGATGTACATTTTGCTTTTATTAGATATGCTAAATTACTTTCACAATATGCCAAAGAAAAACGTGAACGTAAACGCAGTGAATCGAAACGCCGTTCATCAACACGATTATCTGAATCGAAAGCTTAAAAGAAAAACAAACAAAAATTCTCCGATGGCAACTATGAAAATTTGAAATAGAAAAAAAAGAATTTGTTTTAGTTGTCATTTAATGTCATCATTGTTTTTTTTTCTGTTGAATTATATTTCATAACCAATAAACATCCGATTGATATGATGACAAAAAAGAAAGAGCAAATATTTTATCAGCATATTTGTTTGTTATTTTAGATTTAGATTAAATTGAACAATGGTGAGTAGAAATAACGCTTGAAAGCGGCTTTTGATTCGTATAATTCACTATTTTTCGAGCTTTTGCGGAGAATAAAACATAACCCAGCGTTAATCTTCGATATGGGATGAATTTTTACTGTGAGAAGATATTTCTGTTTCGGCTCAGTAAAACGAGCGGAGAGAAATCTTTGACATAAACGTGATACACATCCTTAGCAACGGCATAACACAGGTGTTGTTCATATGAGACGAGATCAACCGGTTTCTTGTTGTATTCCTACAGAGTTAAATGAACGGAATATCTCCTGAATTAGATAGAACAAAAAATCATTGGCTTCATTTGAGTAAAGAAGAAATGGACCATCACGTTTCTCATCTGATATAATAAAAAGAAGAAGTATAAACGAACTTCAGGTTTGATTGCCTGGTTTCAAAATGAAATTTATTCAGCGTTCGAACAGCTATCAAAGCCTTTCTTTTTGCATGCTTGCCTCTGATGTTACCATTGACACAATCTCTTGTGTCTAAAATCAAATTCTCTCATTTTCATTTTTCTTTCCTATTCTGGTTTTTACTAGAGATATTAGAAAGATGATTTTTTTTTAATGTAGGTTCATGCGCTCCCTTTGTAAACTATTAAATATTCAACATGCGTAATTCCCTCCCTATTCTCATTCTTTTTAATTACTAAAAGAATTTCTACCTTGAAGAAGTTTTTTTTCCAAAAAGAAAATATAATTTTAAAATGAAATACGTTTGAATTAAGTGCTGAGTCTTCGTGTGTAATTGCTAATTATGAAATACAAAATAATCGGATTTTTTCTGTTGCCTTCGATTCATCAAGAGAAAATCCCTCGTTTATGTTTTGTAGCGATTTCGGTTTTGTGGCGGTGAAGATTGTGCCGATTGGATATTGGCAGAAATATTTACATTATCGAAATTGGTAAATGATTTTTCCATGTGTATATACTATTCAATCACAGAGATTTCTATTTGTAGAGTTCAGTTAAATTAAGATTATTATGTCAATATGTAATGCAAGCAATATTAGCAGATACTTTAAATGTAAAATCAAATTTTAATTGACACTTATTTTTCATTTCCTGGTTTCGTTTAGTTAAGTGAAGCACAAAAAATAGTCGGTGATAAATTCGGTACGAACGCCAAAGTTTTTTTTTCCTCTATCTTTATGAAATATGATCTTAGAAAGCGGTGATTTAAAAGCATCAATTCGCGCATTGCAATATATTCTGACGATGTCAGCAAAACATTCCGTTGATGGACAATCACTATTAAATGAGCTTACGCAACTTGGTCTTCCAAAAGGTTTTTAATAATATTTAGTTTTCAGTATTTAGTTTTTATTTGAACATTTCTTTTAGAACATGCAAATGCGTTAGTGAAAATATATGATGAACATTTTGAAAAACTAACCGATAAATTACGTTCGTCTGTTATGCGATGTAAGTTTTCATTTTTTCATGCTGGATGATAAACAATAAGTGAACTTTCGTACTTACCCGCTGCACTCCTAGTGACCTGTAACTTTTCGTTTTTTTAGTAACGAAAATGAATGATATCCATTGGAATATATTCGATGTAAAAACAACTAACAATTTACACGATATGCATTTACCTGTAGTCACAATGAATTTAAATTACGATGATAATATAGAAAATCAAGCGAAATCAATTTCATTTTCATTGAATCCAGAACAATTTGCGGTTTTGTTGGCTGGTAAATTCTTTTTTCTGTAGAGGACAAAAATTTTCACGATATTTATTCATTTAGATTTACAAGCAGCAAGAGATTTAATAAAAAATTACTCGAAGTCTTGATGCAATCTAATCATACTCTTTTTTTATATTTGATTTTTTTTAAAGAAAAATATTAGAAACTTTGTGATTAAATATTTTTTGTATTTTTTATTCTTTTTTTTTATTCTTGATTGAAAGTAGAATGTGCAATAATGTGATTATTTTATTATTATTATTATTATTATTATTATTAACAGAATCCGGTGCAACTTTTCGGTAGGTTAATAATAAGAATCAATAAAATCGATTTGTTTTTCTATTTCTTTCATATGATTTAAAAGACTTTTCTCATCCGATGCCGGAACATACAAAGAAGCGCGTCCGTTTTTTATTTCGCCGAAAAGTCTCATTAATGATTATTTTGATGGAAATTTGGCACCTGTTTTTCAAACAATTAACTCTCATACATTTGTTTTTGTTATGTACTATGCACGTATGTATTTGCTTTCGAGTCTAGTAAAGAAGATTATCTGTTAAGAAGCGGGCGTGGGTGACCCCTGAACTAAATACTCAAACTCAAAATAGAAAATTTCAGCCCGACGTTTTCGTGTGGGTCTAATTCGAGACTGGAAACCGGAATAACTCTTTAATATTAATCAGAGTTCGTTTACTGAATTGAATATATCTTATTCTATTTCATAAATAGATTTCTGTGGTATCAGTCGACGAATGCGTGATCCCTACGAAAACGCAGCTGCCTTCTATCGTGAACGTACTCAAAATGGCAATAATACAGTAGACAAATTTCATGTAAGTTTACAAGTAAATAAATTCTTTTTTAATTTTCTTCTGTTAAGGTTAAATTTATAGCAGTTAATTGTTTTTATCATACTGGTCAATGCCGAAAATCTTATAAACTAGATTATTATCCTCAGATGTATTTATATATAAAAGGCACAAGAGGCTATCAATATTTTGGACCATCCATAACATTGAATATTATTGAATTTATTGAAAAAATTCGTATGCCAATAATAAGACTTACAAAAGTGAATGATTTTTTAGATTTTATTGTTCAACATGAAGTAATATAGAAATCGATATTGATTTGTCTAATCTTGATTTTTGTTCGTTTTTAGTCCCATGTTTTAGCTCATTTTGATTTTTCTAACAATGTACAAAGACAACATTATTCACTTTTTGTTCAAGCAGCTCTTAAACATATGGAATATGGTAGATGAATATCATATATGATTCATTTTGTTTTCTTTATAAAGAATTCTATTTTGCACAGACAATGAACATCCCGTTCGTTTCGCTTTAATTCTCAATGAATCAATTATTGAAGAATTCTCAAAATTATCTAATAGCACTTTTCCGAAGCCATTTGTTATTCTAAATCAATTCAATTCACCACCACAGGTAAAACCAAATTACTATTTCTTACTTAGATATTCATTTTTATTTTGAAAATAATAAAGGTGTTCCCACATATAACATATAATTTTACAACGGAAAATCTGTTTCAATGGGTTGCCAATGAATATGTAAGTTTTTTTTAATCATAAAACATTGAGTCTACTTTATTGTTTATAGAAAAAACCCTATGTCAGTTGGATTGTTCCGAAAAATCGTTACTATTCTCGTAGTCCCTCCATTGATAAAGCAACTGTCTTCGATGCATTGACGGATCATGATAATCTACTTATTTTTTTTACTTCTAACAAACTAGATGAATTAAAGGTGAGTTTACTTGTATTTGTTTATTCTTAGTTCATTCATGACGGCTGCAAACGACAAAAAACAGGATAAACATACATTAAATGTTCATAGGAAACACAGAACAACAGCTAACATAAATTAAGCATTTCAGCATAGTAAAAACAGGAAAACAAATAATTTATTTAAATATACATAATTTGTCTGTGCACTTTTCTATCTTTCTTATGAGAGCAAATATAATTACCAATGATTGCACTAGATAATATTAATATTGAATGAGACTCAAACTATGGCCCTGATCACTTTCAAGTAGTACAAAAAAATTTCTTCTTGTTAAATTTTAGTTGCGTCAAATTTATATTTATCTTTCCAATTGTAATATAACTCATTCGTCTCTTTGGCAAACACAAATCGATAAATTATATAATCAATCATCCATCAATCTAAAAGAAAATCTAACGAAAACACATTATAATCTTCTCTCATCGTGTTGTCAATATCTTCTCAATCAGATATCTCCAATGGATGTATATAATTTATGTTTATTAGATCAAGAGTTACCATCGTTGAATATGTCTGATACAAAAACTAAGATATGTTTTGGGACATTGAAAAATCACCAATTGAAAACAATTTGCTATCGTGAATATTGTCATCAATGGTTAAAAACATACCCATCGATATATCAGAAAAAGTTACATGAAAACCATGATATTACGTTAGAAAAACGAAGAGATAAATTTCATGATCAATCAATTGACGTACAAAATCAATTCATTCTTGGCAGTAACAAATCCATGGAAAACTTTCAAGGATTATTGTGTCGAGATAATTCAACATGGGCATTTCGATTAATTGACTCAAGATATTATCCTAATTTTGGACAGAATATTGGCATTGTGAATAATTCAAGAGCTATTATAGTATTGCAAACGAAGGTAAGCATTACCGCTCACACGTTTTTAATACTGGATAACGTGATCATATTGAGAATGGACTTTTCATAGTTAAAAATTTCGACTTCGTTATCTGACTAACGACGATCGCAGATGGCAAATCAGTAGTACCTTGTTTTATTTCTGATGATGAAAAAGGTAAAATGCTAATGAAGACGTGTATAACCAAAATAGAAAGAATAAAATCGTATCTTTCTAGGTAGTACGTCGCGTTTCACACTTTAATCTCGTAGGAATTCCGTTTCAATGAACCTTTCAGATACTGATCAATAAAGAAATATATTAAAGGAATCGTGTGGTTAAGTTAACAAGCATCTTAACATTAAAGCGACATATCAGTTGAAGAATTTACTGTTTGAATCTTTATATTGAGAAACTTTCGTTTTTTTTCTACTCATCATCGATCTCTAGTAATTCGATTGCTTATTTTGATCTACATCGTAATCAAGAATGATGTGGCTTAATTCTCTTGAGTTTTTGCTTTATAGAAAAACACAAGAACCATATCCTGTCATGATTAATTAACATAATGTTGCTTTAATTTTGTTCAACCATGAAAGAATCATCGTCATAAAACTCTCGGGTAGTAAACACAAGAGACTATCTAATCGTATTTTATGCTGCGGCTATCTCTAAATCTTACCATGTGATTCAATTAAGGTGGTAGTACTGATTCAAAACGAGTGATTGTAAAGTCGTACTGTTTCTTCACTCAAGTACCAACATTCATTGTCTCTTTTCCCTCTATCTAATGAAGCATGTTTGACTCTGATATTTTCTTCTCGAAGAACGCGCTTAAAAACAGCATCGACATTCATACTATTTCTTTCAATACTACAAGTTCAGCAGGAAATTTCATAAAGAAAAAGAAAGGCATTTCTTGTTGGAGAAGACATAATTTTTCTTTTCGTTTTAGAATGAACAACATTACATCTTGAATAATACTCAAATAACAACAGAAAATATCTGTATGTAAGTTTAAAAATTAAAATGCAACTCTTTTAATAATCATAATGCATTATTTTAGATAATTTCATTTATGACATATCACATAATTTACGATCTCGCTCACTATCGACGACTCCAATTAGAGAAGCAAATCCAGAACATTCCAATAGGCTCATTGAACTTACTACTGATACTTTTCAATCGATTGTTTTGAATCCAGATAAAGTAATAAATTTACAAAAATTTGATATTTTCATGAAACAGTTTCAATGAATTCTAGCACGTACTCGTTGTTTATTATACTAAATGGTGTGGATTTTGTCAGTCGATTTGGCCGGTGTTATTTCAAACAAAAAAATTCTTTCGTACATTCACCGATCTTACTTTTGCTAGGTAAGATTGCATTAGTGTTAGATGATGATTAGACAAGTTTGCATTCTTTTTTTCAGAATTCAAGCAGATAAACACGATCTTCCGTGGCATTTGACTGTCTACAATTATCCAGCAATAATATTATTCCCTGCAGAGAAGTTTGTCTTTCTTGTTAATAATTTCAATTATTATTTTTGTGTTTTTTTTAATAGTAAAAATTATTCAATCGTTTTCCCAACATCCACAGAACCAATCGCTAGTGTTAGCTTAATAAAATTTCTTCTCTATCATCTTTACATTGATGAAAATATCAATGAACAATGGTGCAGGCCAACAAATAATAGTTTTTTATCAATGTTATCATCAAATTATATTGACTTTCCTCAATTATCTTATTTAGTGAAATCATTTTCTTGAATGTTTTTTTTGGTTTTGTTACTGCATAAAGACAAAATGCACTTTATTCTCTTGCTTCACATTGTTATGCAGAAGCAAAACGAAAATAATGATTAGCTAGTCAAAAAGAAAAAGTCGAAGACAGAAAGAATGATATTTCCTCTTATTTTCTTACCCCATCAATCATTATAAATCAACAGTAAAGCAGGACCGAGAAAAAAATGAATAGAATGACTCGTAGGAACTTAACTGAATAAGCAAAGAAACAGAACTATTATCATCAGTAGTAGTGTTTGTTCGTCTCCTACTCTGCGGTCTCAGCCGGCGAACCACAGTTAAATAGGTTAACAATGTGTCACACGTATAGAAGAAAAAAATAACATTTAACTATATATCATGCGTGATTAGGAAGTCTGGATTTTATCATCTATTTAAACCCTTGGTATACAAAACAAGACAGTGATATGAAACAAATGTTGTTTTTTTCTCTCTTAATGATAAGTACTTCCTTAGAAATCGATATTATAGAGTACTATTCATTGTAATTTAATCGTACCATAATATCGTTGCGTCTTTTGACCTCGTTCGTTCGTTGCTAACCATTTACATTTCCAACTAACGTTATTTATATGTCGTTGTAATCAGTACATATATGCATTTGCCAGCATACATCATAGGAATGGCAAACCACTCCGCTATTTTGATTTCTTCTTTCGAACGAATGAGAATGAGCTTCCGATTCAATCTAAAATAAATATTCATTGGCTTTGAATTACAAGAATCATCAACCATGTCTTAGGACATACGAGTTTAAACAAGACGATGCGACATATTGCGCTTATTCATGAGTTAAAGTGTAGACTAATAAAAGAATAAATTCACGTTATCTTTGTTGTACTTTCACCTGACATTATTTTAAACGTAGTCTATTTTTAGATATTCCAAGTATTATCCGTGCATTTTATTTTCGATAATTAGGGACTCAAATGGCTTCCTCATCGTCAACGAATAATTCCACTGGCACTCATACAACGGCATGGGATAAATCTTCATTGCCAGATCAAATTGAAACATTCGATGACTATAAACGTTTATATGCATTATCTGTCGACGATCCAAATCAATTTTGGAAAATGGCAGCTCAACGTTTAGATTGGTATCAGTTTCCGACTAAAATAAAAAATACTGAATTTGATTGTCGTACGAAACGTGGCGTTGAAATCAAATGGTTTGAAGATGGATTAATCAATGTGTGTTATAATTGCATCGATCGACATATTGAAAAAGATCCTAAAGCAGCTGAAAAAACCGCTATTATATTCGAACCAGACACGCCGACAGAAACTCATCATCGTATCACATATGGTGAACTTTTATTGAGTGTTAAAAAATTCGCCAATGTTTTAAAAAAACATGGAATAAAAAAAGGTGATCGTGTTACAATTTACATGCCAATGGTCGTTGAAACATGTATTGCATTACTCGCATGTGCACGTATTGGTGCAATACACTCAGTTGTATTCGGTGGTTTCAGTGCGAACAGTGTCGCTGAACGTATATCTGATTGCGAATCATCCATTGTTATAACCAGTGATTTTGGTGTACGAGGCGGTAAATGTATTCCATTAAAAAGCAAAATCGATCAAGCCGTAGCAATGCCACAATGTACAACGGTTAAGACTGTACTTGTTTTTCAACGAAATTATGGTCTAGAAAATATAAAAGACGATTGTTCAGGACAACGTAGTTCACTTGAATGGACAGATGGAAGAGATTTTTGGGTGCATGAAGAATTAAAAGCTGTTGATGATAATTGTCCACCTGAACCAATGAACGCCGAAGATCCATTATTTATCGTATGTTCAGAAATGTATAGACATTAATAATCTATTTATTCTAGTTGTATACAAGTGGTTCAACGGGCAAGCCGAAAGGAATTTTACATACAACTGGTGGTTATTTAACGTATGTAAGTTTGACATTTAAATATGTTTTTGCCTATGAGCCAGGTGAAGTTTATATGTGTACGGCTGATGTTGGCTGGATTACTGGTCATTCATGTAAATAAAAAATTTCTTTTTCGTTATTTCTGTTTTTAATGATGAATATTTTTGAAAATAGATGTTGTCTATGGTCCATTGTCTAATCAAGCGATAACTGTGGTTTTTGAAGGCATTCCGACATATCCTGATGTATCACGTTGTTGGAATATTGTTGATAAACACAAAATAAATATATTTTATACAGCACCGACAGCTATTCGTTCGTTGATGGCACATAATGATTCATTTGTTACACGAACAAGTCGACAATCATTAAGACTTTTAGGTACAGTTGGTGAACCAATTAATCCGGAAGCATGGCGATGGTATCATGAGGTTGTTGGTGGTGGTCGATGTTCAATTGTTGACACATGGTGGCAGGTAAATGACTTTGTTCATGGATTTATGTGTCATTTCAAGAGAGAGAGAGAGAAACCAAGATATTCACGCATAATGGTCTCATTTCTTTGAAAAAGCAATAAATCAATGCAATGTTATCTAAGTTGAACTTTTATCATGCATGTTTTTCCTAAAGATCGAATTTCAATTCGTTAGATTTGGGTGTAACTAGGAAAATGAATGTACTAAATAATAAATGAAGTTCTCAGAAATACAACTAGATTCTGAATTCTTCATAGCATTCCGAAAATCGCCTACAAAAAACCTTATCTTAGAAAATTTATTTTGACACATTCGCTTTTGTTAATATATTTATTCTTTTGTTTCATAGACTGAAACTGGTGGTTTTATGATAACACCTATTCCAAATCTTTGGGGATTAGAGGGAGGCTCAGCAACGCTTCCTTTTTTCGGTATTCAAACTCAAATCGTTGATAAAGAATCACATCTACCATTAGATCCACCTAGCAAAGGTGAATTATGTATTCGAGATTCTTGGCCTGGTCAAGCGCGTAGTCTTTATCGTAACCACAAACGATTTGTTGAAGTTTACTTCGAACCATATCCTGGCTATTACTTTTCTGGTGATGGATGTGAAATCAAGGAGAATGGCTATCATTGGATAACGGGTCGAGTGGTTCGTAAACACAAACCATTGTTGTTGTATCAAATCATTATTTTCTTATTTAGGATGATGTTCTCGTTATATCAGGACATAATATTGGTACGGCTGAAGTTGAATCTGCTCTTGTTCAACATTCTGGTGTATCGGAAGCAGCTGTTGTTGGTTATCCTGATCGAGTAAAAAATCAAGGAATGTATTGTTTCGTTACATTAAAAGACAATGTTGAGCCTGTTGAAGAACTCCGAAAAGATCTGACTAAAACTGTACGTGATATTATTGGTGCGCATGTTTTTCCTGATATAATACATTTTGCACCAAACTTACCTAAAACTCGTAGTGGAAAAATTATGCGACGTATTTTACGAAAAATTGTGGAACCAGATATTCATAATCTTGGTGATACATCAACATTAAATGATCCCGCTGTGGTCGATGAATTAATAAAAACATCTCCAAGAACAAAATTAGCATAAAAACTAAATATCTTAATATCATTCTTTTTTCTTTTTTTTTGGATATTAGTCTTGCACTGGTTCTTTTCGTTTTTCTATAATCTTAAAATCAATTATATTTACATATCACACTTCGATGTATATTCCTTATCCAGACATTTGGTTATTATTCATTGTCGTAAATTTAGAAAAACCAACTAAACTATGTTGTCTCGTATTATATTTTATATGAATAATGAATTAAACTTTTAAACGAAAAAAATTTGTTGAATAGATTGAATACAGCCGCGACACATAGGACATTGTTTTCCAATTTTCAGAGCACATTCTGTACAACAACAGAAATGATTACATGGATATATTAGACAGGATTTTTCAGCTGATAAACACACAACACATTCCAACTTGTTTGGTATTTCTTCATGATCTTGATCGGAAACATTTTTCAATGATTGTTGGGATGATATTGATTGAGGCATCAAACGACATAAGATTTCTGGGTTACGTAGTGTTTGATATTCACGTGCCCATGAAAAAAAATCACATCTTTTGCTTCGCCAATTTGGGCATCCGAAAAAATAGGAATTCCTATTGAAATTATCTCTTTGTGATTGATAAAAAGTTGCTTCATCCCCACAATAACATCGGATCGATGTTAAACGACATGGAGCAATATATTCTTTTGAATGTATTTTAAGTGTTGCCCTGTATCAATGTATAATAAATTTATCGAGAAAACAAAAATTCTGTTCAACTTACAAACACATTTCACAATCGAGAGACAATGACAATAGACCTTTTTGGTAATAGTGTTCAATATTTTCATCGTGTAAATGAAATAAACAAACCATACTATCAGATTTGTAACGACCACAAACATAAATGTTATTATCTGTATGTTTAGCCAAAAAAGAACAGAAGCAACGTATTGGATTTCGAATGTTTACGGTTGACATTTTTATTTTAGTTAGAGTACAACTCAGAGTATAATCAAACTCAAGTGAAACGGCGGTAAACACCAAGTTAATTAAACTTTAGCGCCAAGTTGCTATGAGCAGACTATTGTTGTCTGAATATGAGTTTTTATTCAAGGAAGATACTCTTGAGGGTGTGAGCAGGAGCGGGAAAGTAAGTGTGTGGGTGTGGGAATATCAGTATTATGATCACACCCACACACACACCCTCAAGATTTGAAGAACGATAATTTGTTTTCATTTCAAAATATACAGTGAATGAATCAATTTATTCGCCTCCATTTTATTCATCACCAACTGACTACAAGATACGAGCTCGACTTTACTTAAATGAGCACGCAACTGCTAGACGTACACTTATGTCAC